GGCCCGGGTGCGGGAGGGTGGTGGGGCCACAGCCTCGGCCTCAGGGAAGGGGCCGTTCCCGTGGGGGAGGGTGGTAGTGCCACCGCCTCAGTCACCAGGGCATTAGGCAGCTCTCCCTCCCGGGGGGTGACCTGTGGCGGGGAGCAAGCGGACACAGAAGCAGGGGGGGCAAAACGGGTCCAGGCCTTGTCTGGGTGATGGAGGAGTAGGTGATGTGGGGGATGAGAAAGCAGAATCTGCGTAGGGAGCGTTGTTGGAGTAGGAGCTGCAAAGTGGAACAAGTCTGAGCCAGCATGTGTCTGTTAAGGAACCAGAGTATAACTGACAGAGGCAGAGTTGGGAGGGAGGGAGAGAGCAGCAGTCCCCTGGTGCCAAACCTGGCAGAGGGGAATGGGAAATTCTCTACCCGCCTGGATACCCTCTATAGTGCAAGGGATGCTTCCTACTGTAGAATTAGTGAGCAGCCCCTGGGAACATGGGAAGACTTTAAAGAAAAACAGGTGGGCAATAAATACTGAACTGCGTCTGGCTCTGGGCTTGAGCACACTGCATGGAGCAGAGTAAAAGATTGAGTGCAAGTAAATGGATTTTTAGAAGGGCAGGAGATTGCATTGGTAGGTGTCAGGGTGTACAAACGATATGCAAGTCTGGCAAGGCTGAGAATGACCTAGATCTGAGAGATGCCAGGTGGAGGTTGTCCACTGAAAAGAATCATCCATCAAATGTAGATAGTTCTGTGCCAGAGGAAGCTTTTCAGAGGTATGCATCTCTGTTTTACAGATTCAGAGAAGGAGCTGGGATAAAGGGCTTACGTAAGAGGAAGCAATGAATCCTTGTTGAAGCATCAGACAGCAGGTAAGAAAGCCAGGAATGAGCTGATGCTGACTCAGACTGTGTTCTTTTGGTCCCACTGATTGAATTTTTTGAGAATGTGAACCACATGCCTGAAAAACTGTCCCTCTCTGTGGTGTTCTCTGTGTCATAGTAGGCCTATGTTGCCTGAACTGAGTGGCTAGGGATGTCCATGAAGTGGGAGTGACCCTGAAGAATTCAGTAAGAGCCCCTGGGAAGAAGAGCTCAACTAAAGATGGAAGCCGGTGCTCTTTACACACCATCCAGAGAAGCAGTCTAAAGTCTGTTCTGTCAGTGCTGAGGTAGCTGTGTTCTCTGTGTAGTCACAAGAGGTCTACCCAATGAAATCCTTTCTGATAATCCTGCTCTCACAATAATTGTGATGCCAAAGTTAGGTAATTCTAGTGATCCTCTGTTCTGTTAGGTTATTTCTTCCACCACATTGTTTTTTCCACCTGTATTTTAACTGATCCCCCTGATGGGCGGTGCTGGTGTGCTGCTGGCCTTGCCTGACCTCACCACTGGGATCGAGTTTAGAGGGGAGGGTGTTTAGTACCCAGCAGCTGGTCCTTAGAGTTGTTTATACACTTCAGTTACTTGTCAAATTACTTTTAGTACAACTCCTTTCTCTTTTTTTTTTTTCACTGCTTAGTGAATCACTGCGGAAAGCGTGTGTATCCACACGGTGCTTTGCATACAATGTGTTTCAGCTTCTGGATGTTAAATCAGCATTTAAGTTAGCAGGTCTTAGCTGTGGTATCAGAAGCTTTTGGCTCTTCATTCCTTCCCAGGCACCCAGTGCTCTTGAAATCATGGGAATGCATTTGAGCAGGGCCAGCAGAGTTCCAAAGTGCAGCCCATGTCTATCTTAATCTTTAATATTAACAAGGCATTGGGTCAGGAGGGGATGAGTTACGTGCCAAGACCCGTTGCCTCCTCAAACCAGCTTTCTGAACCAAAGATGACCTTGCATTCTTTTCCCATCTGTTTCAAGTAGTTTGTTGGCTGCTGCTAAGTCCCTTGCTTTGCAGCTTTCAAACCCTGAATTCTTATCTCTGCCATCCACTCTAAGTATAATCACATGGCATGGTATGCAGGGGAAATAGACTATAGTTTTGAAAGAGGTATAGTCCTTTGCAGGTCTGCCTCCTTTTTGTCCCAGAGCAGGATAAATAAAGTCAGATGGGACAACGAGTGCTTTTTGGTCAACGTGCTGGTGTGAACGGTACCAGAGCTAGCTTGGAGAAAAGATCTGTGGCAGCTGGTGTGGCTTAAAGTGCTTTTAAAAAGGTGAAGAAAGCCAAACTGTTTGAGCAATAGCAAAATAAACAAGTTTCAGTAAAATGTGACTGTATTTTCGGTAGTTGTTTGAAATAGACTTGGTGCCTTGTGAGTCCTGGAGGCTGATGATTTTTCTGAAGGTGAGCTCCCTAACCTGTTAAAATGTCTGCGATGTTTTATGGAGGATCCACTGAAAGCTGGACTCTGTGAGATTTCTATGTGTCACCACATCTACAGCATAGTCCTGAGAAATAATTCTGGAGGTCAGATCATAATGAATTAATCATGTTGTGTCCTTTTTAGCAAGGGCCTAGCTTTTACAGCACAGTGTGACAAGAATAATATAGTAGTGTCTAATAACCCTCTGCATTTCATGGTGCTCGGAGAAATATAACATTGTTCAGACTTGCTTTAGCTAAATAACTTGGTTTAGAAAGTGTATTTTTCAGATATAACCCAGTCTCTAACAGGTAAAGGTTTGAAAAAAGGGCAGTTTGTTCCATGATTTTCCACTGGGGCTTCTTGCTCCATCTTCTAAACCACTTTGTATTGGCCTGTGTGAGAGGCAAGGTATTGAATCACACTTGTTTACTCTGTTAGATTGCCCACTAGCCTTTCTTTCTTGTGATAACTGCATTAGGAAAAAAAAAAAACCCACCAACCAAAAAACACAAACCCAGGGTCTCAAATGAGTCTGCCTGTGATACAGATTGAGGGCAGGATTCCTCTACTAAGACACGAGGATCTGGCTTGATACCTTTTTGACTTGTCTCTGCTCTTTTGACTGGGGTTGTCAAGAACAGGAATTGTCATAATAGAGCAGATTTTTCTTGGCTGTTTGACTTGGTTGATGCTTTGCGAGTAAATTTAAGGTCCTGAAGCTGGGTGTGTTCATCTCTTTGCTTGAAGGCTTTGGTTGGGAAGATATTGCCTTTTTGTATGACACCTTGAGATAGCTATGGAGAGAGTGAGTGCTTGTGGTGTTTGTGCTAGCTGTGTGTATTTCAGGTCACTAGTAACTAAGGAAATATGATCCTCTCCGAAATTCATTTTACACAGAACTGCAAAGGAACTATGTGCCTAATCTATGCAAACAGGGCTAATGCCTTAAGGCATGAAATCGTCCATCCTGTTTCCCTGCCAGTTCCCCTACCTGAGGGCTTTTCCTTACGTCTAGGTTGGCTGGGTCTGTAACTGTAGTAGGAAGAATGTTGCTTTTTAAAACTGAAGTACCTTTACAGCTGGTTGGAGGGGAAGGGTGACCCTGCAGTCGGAATTCTGAACTGCAATGTAGGATACCTAATTTCTGCCACAGACTTACTATGTGAACGTGTTCAGATCATTACTGTTTCTTGCTCTTCATTCTTTAGTTGCAAAATATGATTAATGCCCATCTTACTTAGGATTTGAGGAAGAGTCCATAAGTGTCTATAAGATGCTTGGATGCCGTGGGGTTGAATGCTTTAGTAAAGCTCAGTGGAGGAGAGATGAAAAGGATATTCCAAGCTGTGACTTCAAAATGAAGCAGACCTCTGTGTGATCCACTGTCCTGTGTATTCTGTAGCATGGTGTGAAATTGCTAGACAGTGCAAGTCAGGCCCTGCCTTTTTTAAAGCAAGTGGGCACTCTGAGACCTTCCCTTCCTTCCTTTTGCAGGAGCGGTTTGCTGGTTTCCATGGCTGGAATGCCTTATCTGGCTGAATCTTTTTGACTTAATTAATCTTTTCTCTTTTTTGCCCCCCTGTTTGTTCCAGACTTGGAAATTGTTCTCTTCATTGTCAGGATGTTCATGTATGGTCTTATTGCTAATATTTCAGACAGAGAGGGCCAAGAGCAGTAGCTTGTGGGCTGTCTCATATTTGGAATGACATGAGCCATCCTCTCTGGACTGTCCTCCTGGGAGCCGTGCTTAGGAAGGAAATGGCGTGGAAGGCCGTGTAGGAGTGTGAGAATAGCATTGCAATGGTTGGAATGCAGGATAAGCATCACTTGGGTGGGCTCAGTTTTCCTCTGCTTTTCAACAGTGCTCGGTGCCAAGCCTGAGGAAGACTGCTGTGCAGAGGTGAAGGAGCTGGCGTGTATTCTTCAGCTGAGGTGAACGCAATTCAGTGAAACTGATAGGCATCAAACTGAATAATGATTTTAAAGTATTTTCACATGATGCCTAATCTGTGGAAATTCACTACCACATAATAGCACTGAGGCTAAGAGCTGAGCGGGATTCAGAAAAGATCAAGTACTTACGAGTGGAAATGTTCAGACTTGCTTTAGCTAAATAACTTGGTTTAGAAGGTGTATTTTTCAGACATAACCCAGTCTCTAACAGGTAAAGGTTTGAAAAAAGGGCAGTTTGTTCCATGATTTTCCACTGGGGCTTCTTGCTCCATCTTCTAAACCACTTTGTATTGGCCTGTGTGAGAGGCAAGGTATTGAATCACACTTGTTTACTCTGTTAGATTGCCCACTAGCCTTTCTTTCTTGTGATAACTGCATTGGGGAAAAAAAAAAAACACCAACCAAAAAACACAAACCCAGAAAGCATTCCAGTTGTTCTGATTAGGCCTGGTAGTCAACAATTTTAAGCTGGAGGAAAACAGCATCCTTGATTGCAGTCCGTAGATGAGGACTGTCTTATTCATGAATGTGAAGACATGTAAGTATTGTCTCTTCATGCCAAGTGGTCAGGCAAAGCACTTGGTGCTTCTTGCCTTTGCTTGCAAGAGAGAAAAGAATGTGTGGAGTTTGGCCTCTCCACGTTGCAGTCTTGTAGTGGACTTTAGTCTGGAAGGCGACAGAAGGGAAGGGCTTTAAAGCTGTTCAAGTGAGATCTGGTGCGTTGTAGCATGAGCCTCAGCATACTAGTGTCCGGGAAGACACAGTCTGTGTCCTGCATTCTTGTCCAATATGTGTTGAGGATTAAGAGAATCATCAGTGCTGCTTGGTCAAGTAGGCATACAATTGGTTTGATGAATAGGCTAAAAAAGGTAAGTGGCAGTGCTATGGAGATATGTATAAAAAGGTGTGTGTTTGTAATATCTGCCTAAACGCAAGGGGAACTCCTGAAGGAAAGAGTTTGTGTGGGAATCTTCAGAGCTAGGAGCAGATCATGCAAACCTCAGATCCCTGTACCCTCCCTGTGGGCTGTTCTGGGAACAACATGTGCTTTAGGGCACAACGTAACCCTTTTGTGGCAGGCATAACGGCTGTACGTAAAGGGTTACTGACTTTCACAGAAGTTTTGTGATGCTGAGAAAGTGAAATGGTTCAGGGTTAGGAAAGTAAGGTTTCCTACAAGTGTTAGGCTGGTTTTTAGGCATGGAGGATCTGATTTGCTGCTAGCGGCAAGAGAGAACTGGTTTAAATTTTTGTTTTCTAGAGGTCAGCAAATTCAGAACTGAGAGTCCCACAGTGACTCCTGTGTCTTTGGTTGAGTTCTATATTTGTATTTTGTCTCTGCGATAAAGCTGGCTTTGGCAGTGATTTTCTTAGTCTTGTGTTTGAAGTCATAGCTGTCCAGCTGCATTAATGTAACGCTCATGCATGAACGGTTCTGAAATCAAAAGGGACAGATGAGGTAGTTTCTCTAACTATTGGGAAATTATACTTAGGCTCATAAAAAGCCTTAGGCAAGTTTTACTTTATAGCATTTGTTTCAAAAGAATATAAGTTATTTTCCCGAGATAGTAATTAGATAATGGTTGTGGCAGTAAGGTTTTTGACCCTTATTTTAGCATGCGCTACTCAGGGTAACTGCATTTAGACCTGGGTATGTCTTGCTGCACAAGCTCTGTACAATTCCCAAAGATGCCTGGCTTCATTGTCTTCTAAATCAGTTCTCATCCTGCAGCTTTGCTGTTCATTAGTGAAGACTCTGCTGCTGCCCAGTGGGAAGGTTAAAAGTATTCTAGGGAGATGACTCGAGAACTGGTCTGCCTCACATAACTGAAAAGTGGTTGCAGATAATTCTACTGTTCTGTTTTTTCTTTTGTGTTTTTATTTATAACTTTTTCCTTATTGAGATCTCTTCCCCCTTCCCTTCTACCTGTTGGACATCCGTATCCAGTGTATTGTGTGTGTACAGCCCTTTCAAATGGGGGAAAAGAAAATAATGGAAAACGGCAGGATATTAATTTAAAATTAGAGTTGTTTTAAGTAACCTTTCTTGGGAATGGACTTCAAGTTTGCATCCTACCTTTAAGTGATTTCATTTTTCTGAGCAGAAAGTGTCTCATGCACTAAAGTATGCAAAATATGTTTCTTGAACTTTTAGAATTGAATTTCTAAGCATTGCTTGCACTGTGGTTATGTAAATACTAAGAAATGAAAAATTTGCTCAGAAGGATTTTCTCAGGTGACTGCATTTTGTTAAAGATACACTTTGTTAGTAGGTGTCTGTGTAGGCACTCAATCCAATTTCTTCTAGGGCTAGTACGGAGTGTCATTTTTGGGAAGCTTCTCGTACCAGGCTGGATTCATTCCCGAAAGTAAATCACTCTTGCTGGGCTGCAGAATTCTTGTAGAGTCTACTTATAAGTATATCCATTTTTCCTTGATTAGATGATGCCTGTGTAAATAGGTCCCCAGGTGTATCTGAAATGGCTATAACAGGATTCAGTGTCGTCAAAGCTCCAGCTGCATGGGGAGAGCTGTATTACCATGCAGCTCCAGAGATGATTTACTACCCGACTGACAACTTGCAATATAAACATTAGTCCAAGCATGATCTTGTCCCAAAACCCCGCCTACGCGGGGAGCCAGGAGTCTTCCTGCCACGCGCCATAAATCGTTTATGGTTTGCTCATGCCCATACATTTGAAAAACAGCTGTGTATTGGGGATTAGCAGTTTGCAGAAGGCCCGTGCGGGGCTAAATTAGGGTCTTTTGCTCTGGTGGCGAATACCGGTATCAGAATAGCAGGAGTGCTTCTCTGCAGTGGAAGGCAATTTGCTCTGGGAATGGGGGGTGGGTGCAGGGTATCTGTGAGGGTGCAGCAGCCAGGGTAGAGCGTTGGATTGCAGTGCTCCAATTTGAGCTCTGACGCCTGACTGATAGCTGCCCAGCATGGTGGGGGACTGAACAATTCATTGTTAGCTGTGTGTTTTTAAAATTTTATTTATACATTTATTATTTCTATATATTTTACACATGTGTATATATATATACACACAAAATGCAAGTAGGCTACGTCTGTCTCCTAGGAGCTGAAGGATGATAGAGTTTTGGGGTCTTTTTTTTTTTTTTTAACAGTGTGAAGACTGGTTTCCCTTCTGCTAGCCTATGGTAGCAGGATCAAATTATATACAAGGCCATCTGGGGCTTCGCAACTAATTTTCAGCTCTTATAAAAAGTTTTACTATGTCACTTGGATTTATTATAGCTTTGCAACTTCAACTCCCAAAGTAAAACTATTTTTGTGCTGGCTGCGATAACTTAAATTACCTCCTGGAGCTTCGAATGACTAACTTGTGTTTATGATGAAACCTCCCATTTGTCCAAACCCTGGAAGCATGATCTGTTTGATAACTCTAAATATATTGATGCTTTTACATCAATGCAGAGTACATCAGAGCCTAAAGTCAGTGGGTGCCTTTAGGTCTTTCTGCAGTAAAGAGAATATGCAGATTTTGCTGTCCAAATGAGACTAGACAGTACAGTCAGATACCTCCTATGTGCTGGCTGAAGGACCAGCTGCTGAGTAAAGCAGATAAAAGTAGATCATTTTTAGCTGGGTTGGTGTCTCCGTCAACAAATCCTTTCTTGGGTGGGTTGGGTAAGAATCTGGGTGGAATGTGTCAGCAAGGCACCTCCTTCTAGATGCATCAGCTGAACACAAGTGCTTCCAGACTGTACCATGAGCATCCATGGGGCCACAGGCAAAGGCAGTGGGCTCTGGGTAAAGCAGGTAACTCATTTCCAAAACTACCCAGTTAGAATGGTTCTTACTATTTTGTTGAAGCTGCTGCATGGATGTCCCTCTGAAATAAGACCATTTTCCTGGAGTTTCCTGCTCTGCTCTCCTCTGCCCGTAGGTTTTTGGGGAGAGTGTAAGGGCTCATCCTAGGCTTGTTTGAGCCTAGGAGTTGCCTCCGTTTTGCTTTTTCCTTTTGGTGAAAGGCTGTACCATCTGTTTGATTCTTCGTGCTTTGCTGAGGTGGAGGCCAGGTAGCACTAAATAATGTTTGTGGCTGTTTGTGTGGGCATTTGAGATTTGGAAGACACCTGCTAATGAGTTGTAGGTCATTTCATGTCAGATTGGCTAAGTTTCTATCAGGCTGGTTCTTTGTTGTGGCAATGCATATGGACTGTGTATGTTTGGGCATCCCTGTTACCTATCTCTGGTGGAGAGGGCTTTCCTGCTGTTTGCTGCCTTCTCTCTCCCCACAAGAAAAAAAAAATCGCCTGATTCTAGAGAGCTTTTAACCTCCAGATTGAATTAGGTGCTTTGCTCTTACTTATATAGACTTTCCAGAGATACACGGAGGTTAGAGAGGGGCGTGGGTATGTGATCGTATTTTGAGCTTTCCCTCCTTCTCTTTGTTTTTGATGCTGCTGTTGGAATTCGCCCTTCCCTTTTCCTGGGAACTGATGTGAAGGAATTGCTGTCACCCAGAGCAAAGCTCAATCTGCTTGCCTTGAGGCCTTACCTCTCCAGGTTACTTCCACAGGCAGCAGTTTGCTTATTAGCTTGTGTTTCCTGAATCTTCTGGGGTAGGTCTGAAAGGAACAGTTCAGAGCAGAGGAAATCTCACCTTGGAGATGCTGGGGTAGGGGAGGGAAGGAAAGAATAGAGTTAGCAGTACAGTTAACTCTTCCCCCCCCCCGCCTCCTTTTTCCCCTGTTTCCTCACCTGCCCAGCTGTGTAGTAGGTTAGCAGTACGTGTCTGTTCTTATTCTTATGAAAGTAGACTTTGTTCTCTGAAGACTGCTAATCATGCCCCATGGGGGTGTAATCAGTTATAAGGTATTTAATACAGTGCAGGCGGGAACAGGCCGCCTGGCCGGGCTGGCAGATTGCAACACTACAATTATAAAGGGCCCCTTTCCCCCACTCACCCGCCCACCGGTGGCAGGATGAGGGTTGTACCTTGAAACAG